AAGTACATTCTATCGCCGTGAACTTTTTCGAGCTTTCGATTGCCCGCAACTCGTACCACCGGCATAAGCTTTGGCGCAATTCCAATAGACTTAATTACATTTAAAGTCGGTATATTTAACGCGCATAGCACAGACGAAACATCTGCTGAGCTACGCTTTTCTTTCTCAGAACTGTAAGAAATAAAGTTGCTTAAAAAAGTGATGTAGGTAATATGGATTTGCAACAGGGTCGATACGAATGAAATAATGATTCGAGAAATTGTTTGGAATTGGGCAAGGCCGTTCACGACTAGGATAGATCATTCGATTCTTTGTTTTTGTTTTATGGATAGATTTTGCATAAATAGTATCCCCGTTTTAGAGAGTCATCAGTTTTTGTTAAAGTAACGTTCGATTATCAATAACAACTCGCAAAGTTGTTCGACCTCAGCCGAAAATCCTACATAAACGTGCTGCTTCCTAACGTCTTCATCGCGGCTTTCAATATTACAAATTCTCCCGCGTGATTAACTTTCTGGCGAGGCTCCTGAGAAAACAGCAACGTTCGAAGTTCCCTTTCGAAAGTCAGGTTGCGGGAAGCAGAGAGGAAATCGAATAGAATAGAGGCCTGGCCGAATCCCCCGAGAGGATCGTTGAAGCGTTGCCTTCGAGCAAATTTCCCGGATGGGACGAGCGAGCAAACGCTAATGTATTGGTCGATTGTCGCGCACCGACGTGCGCTTCAATTTCTTTAATTTCCTCGTCGCGGTCGCGCATATTCGTTACATAACGATAAGCACGAGCTTTTTTTAGAAGAAGAAGAAAAAAAACGCGCTCCAGCGCCAACACGCGCCAAAGCAATCAAGCCAATTTATCGAGGCAGATTAATGATTACGATTAATAGTTGCGCTCCCATCGAGCGAATCTCGTAAGTTCGTCGCGCGATCGCGTTTTACATGGAAAAAGCGCAATTTTACGAGCCGCCTGAATGCAGCGCGGCGCCTTAGGTAATCAGCCGCGCGAACTTTCCGCGGCTCTGCCTCGCCGCATCTGGCTCGCCGCCAGACTCCGTATCCCTATTCCCGAGCGGGACCATCCATTATCCGATTATCCGAGCGATGCGACGCTCTCGGCGATCGCTCCCGCCGATCGAGGAACCGTGGCAACGCCGACGACCTCGACGCACCCATCGATCCTGATAAAACTAAGGTCTTTTCGTTTGGGCGCAGAGGCAAGTTTGGCACCGTTTACCGCTGCAAGGAGAAGAAGACCGGCCTGACTTTGGCAGCCAAGGTGGTTAATACGACCCGGAAGGAGGACAGACGCGCCGTCGAGCGCGAGGTCGAGATCATGAGGAGACTGCAGCATCCCAGGCTGATACAGCTGTACGACGCCATCGAGAACGGCAAGCAGATCTACGTGGTGCTCGAGTTGTAGGTATCGCCGGGTCGAGCGATCAGGCGCGGCCAGAATCAATGGCCAAAGTGTCGCCTCCAAGGCGGTCGAAAACCGGAAATTTCCGAACACTGGCCGACGTCTATCGTCCCGGGTAGGATTCGCACTGGGCAATTCCCGACCGCAGGGATGTTTCGGGCGGGTTGCCCGATTACGGGACGTACAGATGCTCTTGCTGATGCTACTGCTACCACTACGACTACTACTGCTTCTACAGGCGTTGTTGTTGTTGTTGTTGTTGTTGTTGTTGTTGTTGTTGTCGTCGTCGTCGTCGTCGTCGTTGTTGTTGCTGCTGTTGTTGTTGCTACTGTTGTTGTTGCTGCTGTTGTTGTTGCTGCTGTTGCTGTTGCTGCTGACGCGAGCTTAATTAAGAGTCGAGAAGCATCCGCTTTGCAAGCTTAGCATAATACGAGTTCGAGCGGATTAAACAGACTCTGTTTTATTATCAATTGGGTTAAATCTGTTTTAAATCAAATATATAATCATTGGGGTTTTATAATCAATTTCGGTAGTTTTGTATCTCGAGGAATAACGACTTGGGACGTTCGTAAGGGTACATAAATATTATTATATTGATCTAATAACATGGCGCACCTACATTTAATATGAAAATAACGAAGGGGGAGGCAAATTAATAATAAATAGTGTTAAGAATTTCAGTGCTGATAATAACAACGACGACAGCAACAATTGCGAACTTGGACAGCGATAATAATTTTTAAGTTTTAATAATATAATAGCAATAGTAATAACAATAATAGTAATAACGACGACGATAATGATAATGATAATTAAGAGAGACAAGACATATATTCCTATTGATTAAATAATATAGCAATGACTTTGAACGAATTCTTTGGCATACAGAGGTTATTTTCAATTTGCACGCGCCTCTCTTTCACGGCTACGGACAATGAATATCGATTACACTAGTAATGGCTTACGTTCTATTTCTTTCTATTTGTCGACGATCGTGAACTTCGTCTATCGTGGTCCTTGACATTACTTTACATAATATTATAAACGACTTATTGATTTGCGAATGATCTAAAAGCAATAAACTTGCTGTCTTTTGGCACTCAATCCAATCGTCATGTAAAATAAAAATCCACATTTGCAGATTAGTGCTCTTACGATTGCGATAAAAATTTTTAAGTTTAAACTAAAATACAATATATAATAAAGAAAAGCAAAAAAGATTCATGAAAATTTTCGTTAAATGGTAAAATTTCGTCATACTTAAAACAATCGTGTTACCATAAAATTATCTAGCTAAACTTGAAAAATATCGAGATAAAGCTCGGAAGGAATTGATAGGTGTCGTGTATATATATATATATATATATATATATATATCCTGACTGTACCAAACTCTTTCTAAACAAAAATGAAAAAACAGTCGAGGATGGGTAATGTTTCTCGTAAAACTTTAACTCTCTCGTAGTAAAGTGGGTACACTTAAGCTTTGATTCGAGCCTTTTTAAGAGTCTTTTGCGCAATGACTTCGTTAGTTACGAGATCGCGAAAATAGTCAAGAACGTGATTTTGAGGAACTGTGGCACCATTTGTCTCGTAAATCTGACCAGATTTACTTGTTAATCCGAATACCAAGAAACGAAAAGAAAAAAATATAAGAATTAAAATTTTCTCTTTCAATTGCAAAAATAACAACAACAACAACAACAACAACAACAACAACAACAACAACAACAACAACAATAATAATAATAGTAACAAATGTCTATCATATTTTATTTAAATTCATGTAAAAAGTTTATTATAGAATGGTCCTAGCATCATCCATTTTTATGAAAATTGTTAAACTTGCGTACACTGTAGCTAACATACTCTTCAGGTTCCAAATAATCCCATTTAGTTGAGAATTTTCATTTCCAAACGAATGGAATTTTTCAAATAGGAAAGACAAAAGCTCGATCATGTTATTGTTATTCATTATTTATTGTTATTACTATTGCTATTACCATTACTATTATTGCTGTCGTCGTCGTCGTTGTCGTCGTCGTCGTCGTCGTTGTCGTCGTCGTCGTCGTCGTTGTTTTTTTTATTTAATAACATAACTGTTGTTATTAAATTAAATAATCTTATAGACATTCGACGAAAACAAATTTCTCGAATAAAAAAAGTCCTCGATTGTTCTTAAACATTCACGACTTTGTCACAATGCTTACACTAATCACAATGTTCCTGCCATTTTGAAGAATCGAAGGCGGCGAATTATTCGAGAGAGTCATAGACGACGATTTCGTATTGACGGAGAGAAGTTGCGCAGTCTTTATGCGACAAATTTGCGAGGGAATAGAATTCGTACATTCTCAAAACATTCTGCATCTGGATATGAAGGTTTGTATTTAAATTACATTAAACTCATCCACCATTGCTCTTTGATGTCTCGTTAATTATAAACTTTGTTAAATAAAACAGCCGGAAAATATATTGTGCCTGACGAAAGAGGGAAATCGCATCAAGATAATCGACTTTGGACTCGCAAGGGAATGGGATCCAAAGAAAAAACTTCAAGTTCTTTTCGGGACACCGGAATTCGTAGCTCCGGAAGTCGTAAATTTCGATCAAATTGGATTTGGCACAGACATGTGGAGCATTGGAGTTATCTGTTACGTTTTGTAAGTACAGCGCACATTTCTCGCAAACCACATTGATTCTTGACATTTAAACTTAATCCATCACTTTTTCAAAACATGAGCCATTTAAATAAATAATATCCAAGTGAATTAATTGGGGGAGAAGTATTTTCTTAAAGGCTAGACTAACGCGTTGGATGCGAACTTATTAATCGTTTATAAGCTAAAAAACGAAATTGGCCGAATTGGCTAAATAATATATAAATCGGGGCTTTCCACGTACAACGATGGAGAGTCCACGAACAATATGGAGAGTTCGCCATACGAAATTTCTCGCCCCAAACGATATAACCTCAAATTACTTTCTGACGAAACCAAGGCCATCTACGGCAACAAAATAACGGCAATTGATTGCGCTTGGCCATTGAGCAAACGTAAATTCATCTTTCAGATTGTCGGGTCTATCGCCATTCATGGGTGACACGGACGTGGAGACGATGGCAAACGTAACGATCGCCAAATACGACTTTGACCACGAAGCCTTCGCCGATATCTCGGAGAACGCCAAGGACTTCATCAGATGCCTCCTAGTCAAAGACATATCGTGAGTTAAGAGATTCCTTGAACGAAATCCTGCATGCACGCTTATCGCACGGTAACTCATAATATAATCAAAACGGATCGACCCCTCACACCCACAGCACCGAAATCCATTAATATCGCACAACTTCACGAACGCATGGCCGTTAAATCTAGGGGGTCAAAGTGGCAAAATTAGTGAATTAGCAGCTTAACGAAATACGATACTAGCAAACTAGCAAATTAGCAAATTAGCGATTTAGGAAAATCAAAAACGAAATAAAAACGAAATAAATACAAAAAACAAACAAAACAAAAAAAAAACAAAAAACAAAAAAAAACA